GGCCTCACTACACAGATAGGACTCGAAGTGATCCTACTGTTTCCAGCCTCCCAAGCACTGGGATTACAGGCGTGCATCATCATGCCCAATCTCATTCAAGTCTCAGACGTGCCCCGGGGGCAGGGTGGGCACAGCAGGCTGGGAAATTGAACTCCTGCCCCTGCACCTGCCTAAGCAGGTGCTTTAATCTGCTGAGTTATCTGGCCAGCCCTTGTGCATTCTTATTTGAATATATTTACTTATGGGGAATGAACAACAGCCTATAAGAGGCAATTTCTTTATATTTTTTTACTGTATGACTCCTCATTGCCCTTAAGCTGTATCATTAAACACTCCATTGGGAGATTTTTCTCCAACTGAGGCTTAGGGGAACTAGAATGAACATAGAGGAATGAATCAAGCCCAGTTCTCCTTAGTCATCTTCAGTTTGGGATCCAGTTTCAGTTTCAGGGCAAGACAGACACAAATGTGCTTCTTGGTTTCCTACTTAGATAATAGGATGCTTACCCTTTAAGTCAGGTTCATAAGCTTCTTCAGAAGGTGAATGAGGGCTGTCAATCATCGTGCATCTTCCCAGGAACACTACGTGAATTACCATCGCACCTTCATTTTTAATGTTCTCTCATGCCTTGAAGATAGTACAGTGCACTGAAAATCTTGGAAGTTTGTGACTCAAATCTTCATCGTAGTTCAATGCCAAGCACTAAATATCTTGGGATAAATTACTTCCCAGGACCAGACAGCAATTTTATCATTGAGAGCACCAGAGTAGACAGTTTCTATGATTCTTTTCCATTTTGATATTCTAAGGACAAATTACTATTGAAGAAAATTATCTTCAGTTGTTGATTCAAGTCTTCAAAATCACCAAATGATCTGATTTTGAGGTTAGGTTATGAGAGTTAGTCCTTGATTCTTCTATGTGTTGGGCTGTTCAAAGAACGGAAAATTGGTTTGGCTTGAGATATCTTGTTTCCTTATGGATTGGGATTCTTCATGTTGAGAGATCCAATGAGAACTTTGGGTCATCATCTCTTCCCTCTCTCTTTATTTTGGAATCTGGAATAGAACTCAAGACCTTGTGCTTGCTAGGCAGGCACTTGTGCCGCTGAGTTATACCCCCAGCCCTCATCTTCTCTTTTCAATGTGTAGTCAACTGTAAGATGGTGATGTAGACTCCTCACTGACATCTCACTCAATCTTCCAGGTTGTCCTTTCACTAATTTCTTTCATTATTCCTTCATCCCTGCGTCATGGTCCCTTTAAGGGAGCAGCCATAGTTGGTTGAGTAGTGGGGAGCAGCTGCTGGCAGCAAAGAGACTTGCAGGATTTGGCCTACCCTGGTCTACTCACCGCGCACGCTCAGGGCCAGGGGCTTGGTGGGAAAGGGGGGCGGGACTTGTGGTGCGCCTGCGCACTAGGGGCGCGCGCAAGGGGCTCGTTTGGTGATCCCTTTAAGAAACCGCAGGCGGAGGAATTTCTGAGAGAAAATAATCCTACTCACGGGGCCCCTTGGAGGCCATTAACCCCCGGAGTCCCGGCGCCCCTCTCCCGGGCAGGCCTTACCACCCACGCGCACACCCGTGGGACCCTTGCAGCTGCGACTAGGCGCGCGGCATCCGCCCCCTCATCACTCGCGCGCCGGGCCCGGCCGGGTCGGGCAAGCTGCGGCGAGGCGGCCGTGTCTGCAGTGTGGGCGGGGGCCGGGGGCCCTAGAGGTGCCGCCGCCACAGTGCCGGGAGCCGCAGCGGTTCCGAGCGGGGCCCAACATGGCGGAGAGAGAGGTGGAGTCCGGCCCCCGAAAGAGGGTAGGTGAGGTGAGGCAGAACTCGGGCGGCGGGCGGCTGCGGGGGGCGGGGCGCGGCGCGGGCCGGAGCGGCGCTGGGGCTCGTGCTGGGGTCGCGGCGGGGGGGGGAGGGAAGAGGTCCGGGGCCACCTCGGGTCTGGAGCGCGTCGGCCGGGGGTCCTTCGGCAGGTGGGACAAAGATTTGTTGCTGGTGGGGAGGGGGAGGGGCGGGGGCTGTTGTCTGCCTCCGCTGCTCCCTTCCCCCCAGCGCTGGGGGCGCTTTGTCGGGGCCGAGGAGGGAAGGTGTTCGATTCTCAACTACATCTTTAGTGAATCAGTCTGTAGAAGTTTAGCTGGAGAGAGGTCAGATGGGGGTAGTGGTGGCGGGAAGAAGTCTTGGAGGGGTCTCGTGAGGAATAACCAGGGGGCTCTTCAAGAACTCCGTTGCCAATTTGTTTTTCTGCGTCTCCCCGGTATCCGTGGTGGGGGGACCAAAGTGGTGGAGGTGCTACTCTTAATCTGTGAAGAAGTAGGATCGTTGGCATGTCATGGTTTAGGAGATCTTGGCAACTATATTACAAATGTCATGGTCTAGTCTAGCTTCTTTCGGTGGAAGTAGGAACGTGGAGGAGTGTGTCAAGTTTTGTCATCACAAGAATGTACCCAACCAGCCTGTATAGGTGAAGCCGGTTCTACAAAGGAGTTGTCAAATTTGTTAAAGTTTGTCTTGAAACTTTTTTATTTAATTCTGAGTGATTTTTTTTTTTTTTCTGGAGAACTGTACTATCCACTGATCAGTGTTTTTCGGATACCACTCCCTCATGTTAAACAGTAAATTTGCTATCAAGAATCATCCTTTTGGGAATGGTTTTAAATTATCAGTAGTGTTAAAGTAACGAGGTTAAACAATTGCTTCTTTGTTGTGAATGTCCTTTCATTTTAGCACAAATTAGGGATCCCAATGATCCTACCTCTATAACATTTTGAGTTACGCGCCTGAATGTGCTATGTGCCTGTCAATGTGTGAAGTACTTTATTTGTAAAGTTTAATCTCACAGTAAGTGTAGAACTGATTTGCGAGGTTCTATGCCTACATGAAGGTCTATGTCTGCATGAAGAAATGTAGGCATAGAGAGCTTAGGTAATTAAGATCAGAGGCTAGGTAAGAAGTTTGAGCTGAGATTTCTATCCAGGTTTGTGCAACTATGGTTTCTTCATGTTTCTGACCTTAAAAGCTTAAATGGACTATGTGCTGCTTTGCTTTGGAGCCAGCTGAGTGTGGACTGAAACCTCCTGTAAGCTACATAAACTTTTCATTCCTTCAATTAAAAAAAAAAACAAAAAACAACAAACTTAAATGATAAATAACCAAAGTCGTCCCAGTTCATTACAAAATACAATTATCCAGCAAGGTCGAAAATACTGTTTTAATATAGGATGCAGCCATATCCCAGCTACCTAGGTTCTACCTTTAACATTATACTAGACATTTATTTTATCACATATTATTGCATCTATCCATCCTTCTGTCCTTTCTTTGGTCATTTTAATGATTTTCTTCTTCCTTTTTTTGAGACAGGGTCTGGTTTATGTACAGATCAGTCTGGCATTGAACTGTGTAGGTTTGGCTGGCCTTGAACTTGTTGAGATCCTCCTGACTCATCTCCCACATGCTGGGATTACAGGTCTGCGCCACTGTGCCTGACCACCTCATTGTATTTTGAGCAATGAAAACTTAATGTTGACAGTCTTAGGTTTATAAAATGTTAGATTCCCAGGCAGTTAATCATAGAGCAAGTTAAGCTGTAAGTTCAAATAATAGTTCATTTAGTACAAATATTAGGCATGGAATGTATGTCTTTCAGAATTACAACTTTTTTTCAAGCCATGTTCAATTTTAAACTGTCTTCTTATTTGTTTTGAATGAGTGCATATGGCCTACTAATTAATATAGAATAAATTAGATGTCTAGTGTCAATTCAGGGGGCTCCTACATCCAGTTGCTACTAATGCTATTGAATGTTTTTGAATGTTCTAGGATAATACATCCATGAGCTTTGAATGTATCTAATTAAATTAAATTTTAGATTTTAAGTACATTTATTCTTCGTCTTGTATTACCTTTATTTATTTATTTATTTATTTTTTTGCGGAACCGGGGAGTGAACTCAGGCCCTTGCGCTTGCCAGGGAAGCGCTTATTTCACTGAACCATCTCCTCGGCCCTTGTATTACCTTTAAAATGTCATAGTGGTTGCTGTCAAAATGTTAATTTTAACAGTGTGCGCCATACACAGGATATGCACAGGTTATTTTATTAGTTTCCTTGCAGAGGAAAGTAACTTAAGTACAATTTATGTCTTTTAGATCCATAGTCCATTTTGTTGTCTTTTGCTTAGAATGTGCAATACACTTTTTTCACGTGGTACAAGTGTTTCTCCCTCCTACCCCATACCTGCTACATTTTACATGGATTGCATATATGTACTCCAAGCAGATTAGTTGGGACTGTGGAGTACACTTACTTTTTGAATAAATTGTTTGCTATGAGGCAGTTAAAATGATGGGCACAGACCTGGATCATACCTTATACTTACTTAATTTGACATTGAATTGGTAACATGGTGTATATATGATATTTATTGCTTTTTACATTTGTAATTTTGAGTCATAAGAAAGACGTTGAGCTGGTTGATGAGCTATATGCTAGGCATTGTGCTATGGTGTTCATGATCATTCAGGATGATAAATGCTGGTTCTGCCAAATTACTTGAATTCTTTTATAGTAGAGATTTTTTTGGGGGGGTTAGTTCTGGGGATTGAATCCAGAGTCACTTGTATGCTATGCATATGCTGTACTACTGAGCTGCATCCTTAATTCTTTTAAATTTTATTTTGAGACAGGAGTTTTGCACAGTTGTCCAGGCTGGCATTAAATTTGTTATCCTCTTGCCTCAGCCTCCCAGAGTGTTAGAATTATTGATATATGTGCCACTAAACCCAGTTGTAAACCTTTCCTACCATCTTTTATACCCCAAAGTTCTCTCCTTTGGGTGCAGATTTCGGAATCTTACTGTTTTGGATTAGGTTTAGATGGGAGAATGGCTGCTTTGTAAGACCATTTGGTGGTTAACAACGTTAAATTCTGTGTAGACTGGCTTAAGATCTTATTTTTTTGAGTGGATAGCTAGAGCAATAAGAGATTAATTAGACAAATTGATTTGATTGTATTCAGATTATACTCCTAATTTGTGAATGTAAGGGAGGTGAGTATACTATATTAATGTGTCATTTTTTAATTTTAATTTTAATTTTTCTTTGGCAGAACCGGGGATTGAACTCAGGCCCTTGCGCTTGCCAGGCAAGCCCTTATTCTACTGAGCTGTCTCTCTGGCCCTAATGTATCATTTTGATAAAGAACCAAATTCATACCCTACTGCTTGTATGTGAAGGGACCCTCCCATACACGCGCTCTGTCCCTGACTCTCTCCTTCCCCCACCCCCATCCCTCTTTAAGGGTAGGATTTTATTTTTATGAACTCTTTTAAGATTGTAAAATTTTTGTTTTCTACAATAGGTTTTAAAAGCCATTGGGTAACCGTTGTACTACAGAGTTAAATTATTTATTTATT